TGCCATTTCACCCCTCTGTCTACTATATGCCTCTCTCTCTCTCTCTCTCTCTCTCTCTCTCTCTCTCTCTCTCTCTCATTCCCCTTACAGCAATGCAGCGGGTATACCATAGCGGTAGTTGTAGTAGGGGGTGGGGTGGTGATGCCTCACTGGCAGATTTAATGAGCTCCTGTGGGGATTGGACCAAAGCCATCAAAAGCTGTGTGCTGCTATACAGCCAGCTCCGTTAAACAGATGCGCCTCTGCTAATGATAGCATTGCTTCATATGCAGCCGGCATGAACGCATGAGCAGCTATAGGAGAAAAGAAACAAGTATGTCTGTAATAGGTGTGTAGCCCTTCAGTGGATAGAGGAGGTCGTGGGGAGGTACAGCGGAAAAATCTCACATGGACTATGGATGATCTTCTTTTCTCCACTGACCTTTCATCTGTGCAGCTTTAGGCAAAAGGTGGGGGCTGGGATAGAGGATACTGGGCGGGCAGTAACAAAATCTTTTTGGTTGCACCTTTAAAGGACACCACTGAAAACAGAATGACACTTAAAACTCTTAGAACCTGATGGAGGAAAGACAGAGTTACACAAAGTGAGACATGTAATATGAATGCCAGAGAGTTTGAGGGTTACAGACTTTGAATGCAACACAAAAAAGAGAGAAAATAGGAGACCTAAAGGAGGAGAGGGAGAGACATTGGGGATGAGTATTTGTTAAGGATTGAGTGCCCAACTGTAGATCCGGCCGTTATGTGGGTTGTGGCCGGATTGGATCAAACCAAAGCTCTCTGCAGATTTCATCCAGATAAATGGGAATCACCTAATTCAAGCCCTATTGCACCCACTCCCCATAATAGGATGTTGGCACATACGTAATTACAGTGGGACTGGTCACATCTGAGAGACCTATGCAGACTACAACACTAGCCTCAGGATTCCCAGAGGCTATCTCTAATGACTGCCTCATTATGGACACAAAGAGTTGTGCCAAACAAAGGGAAAACTTAGAGGATGCTGAGGGACAGGCACATACAGTATGGTTCAATCAGGAGTTGCCTGGATGCTGACGCTCCCTGAGTGTAAAATAGAATTTCAAAGAAGTGATGAAAGCATATAAACGTGAGTTGCAGCTGTAACATACATTGTAAGAAGCATTTTGCTAATTGCAGCACATGATGGACAGTAACTAAAAAGGAGGTTTGTGTTCTTCAGTAGAAATATTATAGAAAGACACACAGACACAGAAATCGGCTTAATAAGGAAGATTTACTGCCAGAGGTCAATGTACTTCATTTTTATGTCTACAGTTTGTAGAAAAGTGTTACATGCTAATCATTTGACAACACTGGTACTTGGGAGAACATGTGGTAGCTTCAGTGCTGGAATGCCGCATGCCTTTATGATCTCTCAGGATCAGCTCCTTCGGCAGGTCAGATCATCCTGAGCTGCCCTGCTACCCTATATCTGTTTGGAACCCTTTAATACCAGTCATGCCTAAACACATTCAAGGTAACCCTTCACAATCACCTAAATAATGAGGTGTTAGACAAGTCAATAGAAGACAATACATACTCAGAATAAAGTATTTAAAACAGCAACTAAAACATAAACGTGTAGAATTCAAGAGAACAGTTTATAACAATTTGTGAGAAATTAAGCTGAACACTGATATAATCTGATCTACACTAGTGTGAGGTAAATCATTACACATTTACTCACTTATTCTGCTGGAATCGGACCGTAAATGAGCACATTGTTTGGCATTAAATATTAATGTCCTTCATAATCACAGTCATTTGCTATGTATTCATTCATTAGCCATTCAGCATTCAGTCCGAAAACAGTGTTACAGCATGGAATTGACTAAAATATGCTCCATTCGATGTGCAGCTCTTTTGGGTCTGTGTCATTTTTTATAATCATTTCTTTTTATCAGACAGTATTCTCACTCCATAGTCCACTTGGAAGTGGTTCAAGACAGCTTTCAAGTAGACCACTGAGTGACTCTGCACACCTACATTTGTATGGGGTCACCAAATCAAGGCGATAAAGGGTCTGGTTCAATGAGATTGCCTGTAATAGTTCATTTAGGAACACCAAGGTTTGACCAAGTGTGTGCCTTTTGGATAAGTCGATTCAGAACCGGTTGTGTGCACGAATAGGTGCGCATTGTGGACACACATATACACATTTAAAGGATTCTTTCGCTGAGCAGAGGTAGATGTGAAACTCCCAACCAGTAATATAAGAACAATTTTTTCCATCTTTAAATGTGTGTCTCCTTGAGATGAACTGACTGAGACACTGGTAGGTCAATTTCATTTGGGCAGTTGTTTGAGAAATGTATACTGGGAAAACCTGGTGCTGATTGTGGTTTGATATTTGGAGTTGAATCTGCACAACATTTTAAGGCAGCTTCCCGATGAGAAATGTTTTTCCCATGCTTCCTCTATTCATAGGAGATATTGTGTCTTAGCAAGCAGCACTCTTCATTGTTTTGTTTTGCTACTGAAAAACAGTGGGTTACACTGCTGATGGAATAAAACAGATTTGCATGACAGTCCATACGTCTCTCTATCACTATCCATCACTGAATGCATTCATCCCAACAACCATCTAGGGATACATAATTGAGAGGCGTAGAATGACAAAGCTTCCCTTTCTTCAGAAGCTGGAATTTACCTCCCACTTCCTATGCGCAGCACAACCTGAAGTGTTTGCTGAGAGCTTCATTTTGGGGGGGCTTTTTCACAGCTCCTAGGCAGCCAGTATGTGTGAGCCCATTTCTTCCCACTGCATGGCAAGTGGATGTGAGGCCCAGGGTGGGGGACGGGGGCAGATATATCCGGAGCCTGGCCCAGCTCCAGTTGTCTTTACCTCACAGTATATTGTGACGCTCCAGTCATGAGAATGGGCATCAGGCCCCTCGAGAGACCAGTAGGAAACTTAATTTATATCTTCCTCTGACCTGAATTAGCTGAGTATAACACACAACTAGTCACTAATGCAAACGTGTTAATCATTATGTAAGCACATGTTGTGGATGGTTGAGTGGCATTGCATGGCAAAGCCACTGACAGAAGCTCATTAATTATGCGGGATGGACACCAGAGAAGCTCTTTTTGGGAATGTCCTGACGTTTCTAAATGTATTAAAATGCATAGTATAATAAAACTTCTCTGTCTATGGAATCAAATGTTCTTGGTGCAGTAAAGATATAATGTCTCTATCCGTTTGCGAATCTTTCAAGCTGAAACCCATCTTCCTATGGTGTGTGGGCAGGCTATGTGTTTGTGTGCTGGGTGTGTTTGTGCGCGGCTTCTCGTTTCCCCTTCATCCCACTTCTCTCTAAGCCGCAGAGTGTTGCTAGGACAACCCCTCGTGGTCCTTGCTGCATCCCAGCTGCCCTCAATGCCAGCACTCAGGGAACCTCCTCGCACTGGGAAGGCAGCATAAAATTGGGATAATCGCTGTCGATTATGGGACACAATGGGCTGCAGCTTCTGAAAGATTCATTCATCCTGGAAAAAAGAGACTGTGGAGGGGGGGAAAGAGAAAGGGGCGCCTTGGTCCCTCCGCTGCTCTCCCACGGTGGGCACAGGCATGACATCAGTGGCCTGAAAGAACTGGCATTCTGGACATGCCCACTGCCCTCCCACCCTCGCTATACCCTTACACCCCCTCCCATTTGAACCCCCTCCCTTCTTTTCTGGCCCCTGCCAGTTTGGATGCAGCGCTTGGCCGGGCGAGTTGGGGCCACTGCCACTGTTTGCGTGTGAAACAAAGCCCCTCAGAAGGAAGAGAGAGGAAGCAGAGAGCTTCACATGGTACCAGCCAAGAGCAGGGAGGCTGCCTCAGCCTTCCCCTCGCAGGCCCCTCTTTTGGCTGAGAGGTGCTGGTGTGACCCCAGTACCCCTTTTCTCCCCCAGTGTCCCTCTTTCCCCCTTGGAACCCCTTCTTCTCTGTACTACTCTCTCGCTTCCATCCCGAAAATACTCTCTCTTCGCTGAGAGAGCCCTTTCAATGAGTATGACATGTCAAGGGATTTAGGATGAGTGATTTCTCATGACACAACCTATGCCGACAGGGATGGGATTCCTCTGGCTTTTGTTGTGCAGTTGGTCATTTGTTTAAAGAGGAAATAGCTTTCCAACACATTTCCCTAATTAGAATTATGTGATACTGCTCAATACGATGTGAAGTCCCATGCTGCTGGGAGACTGCAGGGAAATCAGCGTGACACCATCTACACATGAATCACGTTGGTCATTTGTGCTTTGGAGTTCAGCACTTTGGAGTTTTGTTGAATAGTGGGGCTACGTAAATTTATATGTTGGAGTGTGTGTGACTTGAATGTGTGGATCTTATTCTGCCAGAATCTTTAAAGACAGATATTTTGTGGCTTTTCTTCACTTTTAAAATTTATGTTTGTAGAGATTATAACTGTATAAGTATATGTATATACCTATTTGAATCTAAGTATTTGGAAGATTGTGACATAACCATTTACATAAATCTAAAGAGTGACATAATATGTTGTAGCCAGAGCAGCAAACATTAACTCCCATCTGCTGTCTATCAGGATGACCTCAAAGCTCCCAAACGGCAGCATTATGACATTAACCCTTCCATCAGTCATTCCTTTGTCGTTTATTCCCCTCTCATCAAAAGGGCTACTTACAAAGCACTACTATACTGTCCACATTGTGCCATTAGCAGGCATCATCGTGATCATCTCTAGCAGTTTGGCCTTTCCCTCACTATCCCATGTAGCTGGATGAGTCTGGGAGCATACTCTCCAGGGTGATTACAGTGTCCAGGGAATGGAGGGTTTGTGAGGGATTTGACTCTTAAACTATTGACTCCTCCCTCCACTTCGTATTTTATATTATTTATTTCTAAGTATGTTGGATGTGTGTGCATGCTCTGTGTGCCCTTGGTGTGTAGCTGGTTGTGGGTGGTGGTGGTGGTGGAGTCAAGGGGTGGGGGCTGATGGGGGTTTGCAGACTTCAGGAAGGGGCAATTCAGGTTGCTGTGACTGGGTCTGTCGTCTGGGCTGGGTTGACTCGCTCCTCTCTGGATGCTTTGGAAGAGCGTGTGGACAGCTGAGAGCTGCTAGCTGTCAGCAGAGCTCTGGTGTTTTCAGCCACAGGCTGCGCCCGGGACATTACCGGCTGACATCTGGGAACTGTTTTGAATGGAGCAGTCGTGATCCTACTAACGATTCCTTGAGCTGATTCACTCTTAAATTCCAAAGGCTGGAGATTTGATCCTGGTCAATGTATGTAGCACTTACCTCAACTCCAACAGAAATTAAGTAAGTACTCGCAATCTCATTTGCAGTTCTTCACAATTAGATTTCACAATCTAATTTTACTTTCTCTCTTTATTGTCTTCTTATTGATTCAATGCAAGCAATTTTACTTTCTGTAAAAGTCAATGGTAAACATGACAAGCTCCTATAATTAGAGTAAGTTAATTAGTATATAAAGTATAGTATCCGCAAAAAATATATACGGGAACCTCTCTTTTTTAACTGAAACACAAAAAAACATTTTTGATTGAATATCACCTGGATTGACACCAGGTGTTGATTAAGGCCATCATTAAATCTTCATGGCTTAGCGGTCCTGTAATGCAATTAATCTGATTTAGCCCTCGGCCAAGATTAGCCGGTTTATGAGATGATCCCATTAGAGACTGAGAAGAAGAAACTGTGTGGATGTGTGTTTGCGAGCGTGTGTGAATGTCCTTTGAACTATGAAGTTCTATTAGACTTTTATGTTCTTAATTTATTTTTATATTCACAGTTTCTAAAAGCAGCATCCCAGTGTAACTCAATGGCTGCTGAAAATTCCTCAGTTTAAGATCTCAGATTTAATCTTCATGGCAGAGAGAATCCATTCTAAACTCGTGGCATATAAATCAAAGCAAAAACGATGTAAGGAGTATTCCCCATCAAGTAAAATAATTCTTTCACATAAGAAAAGCACCTACTGATGTGAAATGACAGTTCTCTGCTGTAGTCGATTGTTCTTTGCTGTACATTTTCATTTTCATCTATCATTGGGTCACACCAGCCCACTCTCTCATCTGTCCTTCGCTTGATGAGAGAGGCGCTAATGAGAAGATCATGACAGAATAATATCCGTCCTATGTGACGGCCAACGTCTGCTTTCTCACCATCTTAGTGCTAAAAATAATGAAAGGGAGAGAAACGGGGGAAAATTCAATTAACAGCACTCATCACTCTTATGGAATGGGATTACATGGTAATGCCATTTTTTCTGGGTTTTATTCCTGGGGTTTTACTAATTCATTCAGATATCATCCAAAGTATGACAAAATGATGGCTACTGTTTGCCTGCTGTTTGCATGTATTTTCTGTATTTCACACTTCACTTTGAAATTAATAAGAGGAGACAGGACTGGTCCATCTGTGTGCCTGGAAGCTGACCAGGTGGTCTTCATATAGCCAAGCTTACAAAGCTGCAATACACAAAGCTGAGGGAGGTGTGTGTGTATGTGTGTGGTGTGTGTGTCTCCGTGTGGAATTATTAGTGACAACTTGCACATCAACAATAACACCATAAGAGCCTCTGGTTGCGAGGAAGTTTTCCAAATGCCTATTGAGTTGAGCTCGATGTCTTGTCTTAAAAAAACCTCCTTAGTGGACATGGGGGCAGTTTACGAGGACAAAAAAAAATCATTTCACCATTAGTGAGTTCTATGCCACGAACCCCAGGGGTGAGGTGAAAGGTCAGAGTCGCACTATTTCTTCTTTGCTTTTCTTTGTAATTCATCACAGTACACATTTGCATGGGCTTATTGGAGATGAATAGGAACAGAGACACTTTTCTACTATCTCATCGACAAAAAGGATGTCAAACCGTGCAACACAATTCGATATATTATTCCTGCGACTTGTTGAGGGGACAATGAATATAAAGCTCTTACTGAGTTACTGAACACCTGCCTAACTGGCATGTGACACACACACACAGCTGGCTCTCTTCTTGCTAACAAACACGTTCACACCTCGCCGGGACCGCAGGAAGCTGCACTGTGCTGCCTGTAATGAGAAATCACTTTTCATTCAACTAATTACACTGCGTGACTGAGCCCCCTCTTCCTACTATTGTATTTGAGATCCTATGTGCTTCTAAATTTACTGTCACACATTCATAACTGAGACAGTGAATGTATAAGTGAGTGAATAAGTCTTAACAGGCAATATGTTTGCTCCTCCTCTGGAATTCATCAAACCTTTGTACTGTCAAGTGAGCATCTGTTTCACTTCTTCATCGCTGTCTTAAATGGATGTCTAGATACACTCACTCGGGGGTATTTGTCTCTGGTTTTCTACACTGAACCACAGTATTTAATTAAAAAACAGATGATGACAATGCATTATTTTAAGTTGTAAAGTCCCCATAATTTAACTGGGTTTGAAACTTGTACTCAGGATGCAAACATCTTTTTGTTCTGTGTAAGTGCATATAACAGTACTTTTTCAGAATGATAAAAAAAATATTCTGGAAATCATTTCAGTCAGTCAAATTGCATAATGTACTTATTGTCACGGAGTTCACGGTGAGGACCCAATAGCAAGACCACAGGAGACAGAAGTTGGTATAAACAGGTTTTATTTAGCCTGAATTAAGATGACAGGAAGGTGTGGAGCCCGTGGTCCGACACCAGAGAGTAGGCAGATCGACGGTGTGAGTCCCGTGGCTCGACACCGGAGGGCTGGCAGCTTGACGGCGTGACGTCCCGTAGCTCGACACCAGAGAGTAGGCAGATCGACGGTGTGAGTCCCGTGGCTTGACACCGGAGCGCTGATAGCTTGATGGCGTGATGTCCCGTGGCTCGACACCGGAGAGCTGGCAGCTTGACGGCGTGAGTAGTCCGTTAACACAACAGAGGGCAGAGCGGCGGTGTGTAGTCCGTTAACACCACGGAGGGCAGAGCGGCGGTGAGTAGTCCGTAAACACCACGGAGGGCACGGGGGATTCCCAGACCGACGGACACCGGAGGCAGGCGCTCGAAGCTGAAGATGCACCGGTGCTGAAGGGGTTGAAGCGGGTGAAAGACGGTATGACCTGACAACCCCAGACTGCAGGACAGAGTTTATATAGTGCCAGGGGAAGCGTTAGTGGGACCTGAGTCTGGTGTGTCAGCCTGCAGGAGGTAATCTGCTGGAGTGGCTGCAGCTGTGTGGCCATGGGAGGTGCCTGGTCTGACAGGGATCCTGACACTTATGCCTTCAAAGTCTTACAAAAGACAATTTTTAACTTGTCACAAAGCAGAACTTCTTTACAAAAATCTTTTTAATGAACTTCAGATGCTCTGTGTCTGAAGTATTGCCCCTAAAGGAATGCAATTTTGCAAGCAGCAGCTTGTAGTCAGCTTCCATCTGTTGGAGGCAATTCCAATCATGGACAGTGTTGGAGTGACAGATTGGCAACACACTTGAATGCTTAACGTTTTTTACCATGCAGTGTTGTCTTTTTAACAATATCAGAGATATATTTTCAGAGACATCATGCACACCCAAAATGATCTGATTTACTGTATTACGGTGGTGTATTTTACTGTAGAGTCCACTTAATGTCTTGTTTTTTCTCTCACACATGACCGAACATAACCACGTGATATGTATTGATTAATAATGCTGTTTAGCCAATAGTGTGTTTTTGAAGGGGTTCAGCTTGATGCATTTTGTTCATAACAGTTTAATTTGTTCTTTGTCTCTATCTCAGTGCCAACAGTATGCCTAAACAAGTTGAGGTGAGGATGCACGAGAGTCACCTGGAGCCCATTGAGGCCAGGCCTCAGTCCAAATGTGCCAAAATCTGCTCCAAGCTGTGCACGAACCTTCTGCTCACACTCACCGTCCTCGGTAAGTCACCTCGTCGTCGGCGCATCAGTGTTCTGTTAACTCAGAGCTCGGTTATGCAACTTGCTCGTAATATGAGGAGGAGATGCCATCTGTGCTTGCTCAGTGTACCAGACAGTAAGATGACTGGGTGCCCTGACCTTCCCCAGCTTCGTGCCACCTGTTGCTATCAAACGCTCTCTGCAGCACTGGACATCCAGACAACAGCCTCTGGTGGTGCATGAACATATTGTGATAATAGCATTGACTCACTGTGCCACAGGGGTATTTTAATGAAAAGGGCACAAAAGTAGTGTTGCAATTTCTGGTTATAAGCATTGAATCAGATTTGGGTTTGACCTGCCCATATTGTTTATAGTTTGCTGTGTCTGACAGCCATGTGGTCCCTCACAATCTTATACAGTATATCATTGACAAGCATAGGTCATGAACATGTTAAAACTGTATAAATGCATATATGTGTGTGCCTTATATTTCATTTAGCTGTGTGTGTGCCTGTCTATCTGTATCCTGCTTGCATGGATGTGTGTTTATGTGAGCATGTGTAATGTGAACATCTCACCCCACTTGGCAGGACTCTCGCAAAGCAAGTGAGCCAGCATGATCATTGATCATCTGTCACTTGGCACATAAGAGCCTGAATGGGAACTTGCAAATGAGCCAAAGAGAAGGCAGGAAATCAAGTGCCATCCAAAACCCTTGGGTGTGCAGAATCCACAGGATGCTGCAAGACTGGAGGATAGATTGAAGCACAGAGGACAGCTTACAATAAAAAAAAAAAGCTGCAGGGCTTTTGATTCCAGTGTGGGTTATTAAACAATGTCTCGGGCCTGTGTGATCTTTGGCAGTGGTGTGGCAGTAGAGGAAGTGCAGCCCCGAGGGGGTATGCTGGATTGTGTGGCGTGAGATGGACAGAAACAGAGGCCAACTACCGGGCCTGGTAGGCCGGGCTACAGGGGGCTTGGAGCACACAGAGGTCATCTTTACCCTCCGGGGCAGAAACACTGTGTGTTGGAAGAAGCATAGGTCAAGCGTCAACAGTGGCATTGTTAGGGAGGGGCTGATGTTTGCAATGACACTGTTTTCATGCTCTAGAGAGAGAATGCAGACCAGACGTCAGGTTAGGTAGCAAAGAACCCCCTGGATGGCAGAAATATGCCAGTGAGGAATTGGCTCAACTACTTCCTTTCCCCACTTTTGATAAATCTCTTTTACTTGCCCTGCCTAAAAGGGAAAAAAATCTTCGAAAGCATTTGGGGTTTGCTGAGATTATAGATGCTTCACCGGGGAATCTGACATGCTGCCTCCTCCCTACTGCTTCAAAAAGATCAGATCTTAATCCTCCATGAGCTTTACTCTCTCTCAGCAGGTTTTCGGTTTTATCTTCTCAATCCACTGTCCTCTTTAAGCATGTAGCAGACAGCCTGTTGTACAGCTCCTAACAACTGAATTGCGTTGTTACGTCTTCTTTATGGAGATAATCATAGCTCATTTGCCATTTCATAGATTATATCTAAGCTTTTTCCATTAAGACATAATACACCCATGAGAAATGACTTTTTTTTTTCTGACTTATAAATATCTGACTTCATTTTCGATTCTCTTCTATTTTGCCGTTATACACTCTTGCAGTTTCACTCACTCACACCCTTCCTTGCACTTCAGGTGTGATCTTGGGAGCTGTATCAGGGATGTTGCTTCGTGTCGCCTCCCCGATCCACCCGGATATTGTCATGGTGATTTCTTTTCCCGGAGACATCCTGATGAGGATGCTGAAGATGTTGATCCTGCCACTCATCATCTCCAGTTTAATCACAGGTTCAGTGTGACTGATCTCTTATGGCAAATACATATATTAATACAATAATATTGGATATTTTAGACTTAATCTTCATCTACACATTCCACTGCTGTAATACAAAAAAAAAACATGTTATGACTGTGATCCTGATTCTGAAATCATAATTGACAGTAATTGTAACACATCATGCCATCCATCATACACGTGATCAAATACTATCATGCAAGGCCATAATAGTCTTCGCATCCAGGCTTCATAGCCTGCAGTATTAAGTCAACATTTCCATTCAATCATTTAAAGTAACTACCAAGTAAACACAATCTTGCTTGTTTTGGATGCAGGTCTGGCTGGTTTGGATGCCAAATCCAGCGGTCGCCTGGGAACCAGAGCTATGGTCTACTACATGAGCACAACTGTTATTGCTGCTGTACTGGGAGTCATCCTGGTGTTAGTCATCCACCCAGGCAACCCCAAACTGAAGGAGAATCTGGGCGAAGGCGAGAAAAACGATGAAGTGTCCAGTTTGGATGCCTTCTTCGATCTGATCAGGAACCTGTTCCCAGAGAACTTGGTGCAGGCTTGTTTCCAACAGGTAATTGACGATGACACGATTTAATGCTGAAGTTTGACAGTCGGTGCAGGTGCTAGATGTTTTGACAGTCTCTGATATATGCAAGTCACTGTTGTGTCCTGGATGATTGGCATCACTTATTATGGAGTATCATTTGTTGCCCAAAATCAAGTTAGAGAGACTTATAAGTTTGTATGTCTGGAAATAGGTATACACAAAGAGTGTCCATAGACTGTCTTTATATAGCTGGGGGATTATTAACAGAGCAATCAAAATGCACCTTGGATTGTAAGGACACACCATAGAAGAAGCAGAACATGATTATTAAAAGTTGAGTGGCCTTGTGTCATATATCACATATCTGATTCCAGCATTGTTTATCAAACTTATCAATCTTTTCCTCCTTTAACTCAGATCCAAACCGTCACGAAGAAGGTAGAGGTGATTATTGCGGAGAATGTCAGTGCAACGTCTGTTGACGGCCTGGTGGCTAACATGACCAAGGAGCCTCAGTTCATCGTCCAAAAAACCCTTCAGTTCAAAAGTGGCATGAATGTTCTGGGTATGTAAAAACGCTTACAGTATGTGTACTATTACTACTAAACAAAACAAACACGAGTCAACAGCGATGAATCTGTGAGGCTGTATTTAGGCACTCTGCGCTTTGAGCTTAACACTGCTATCAGCATGTTGACATGTCAAGAATGACAATGCTAACATGCTGATGTTTAGCAGGTAGAATATTTTTGCATGTTCACCATCTTTGTTTAGCATGTTAGCTTGCTAACATTTGCAAATTAGCGCTAAACATAAGCTAATGCCGATCAGCATGTAAATAGTTTTGCAGATATTTGGCAATGTATACAACACATTGATTTATTTTGAAATGTCAATACATTGGCAATACATCCAATAGCTGTTGAGACATTTCTCTCAAAACCACATGTGTGAACGTTATGGGACAAGTCAAGGGGTCACCAAAGTCATTAGGATTCCTTCTTGGGGCACAATGAGTATCTCTACCAAATGTCATTGGAAATTCATCTAATAGTTGTTGAGAATTTTCAGTCTGGGCCAAAATGGTGAACTGACCAACCGACCGAATTTTACCCATAGGGCCATGCTGCTAGCTTTGCTAAAAATCATAGCAATATTCACAGTTTTACATTTACAGAATTTCGCAGTTGCAAATATCTGGACAAACCAAATTTGTTAGGCCGTTTATGGAAAACTTCTCATCTAATAATAATCTCCTCATCCGTCCACACTGGTATTTAAAGTTTGATACATTTATGATTTTCTGTCACAGGTATGATTGGTTTCTTTATTGCATTTGGCATCTGCATGGGCAAGATGGGCGAGAGGGCCAGACTCATGCTTGAATTCTTCAACATCCTCAATGAGATTGTGATGAAACTTGTCCTCTGTATCATGTGGTTAGTATCACTTAAGAATCTCATTGACTCATTTTGAAGTTATTTTGAGCCAGAAATAACAGTTAATGCCAAGTTATTTCTCAAGTCATTACATTTTATAAGATTATAGCTATGTGAAACAGGAAAAAATGGGGTCCTGACAAATATTTTGTTGTCTGTATTTAAAGTAATAACTAACACTTTTCTTTTTGTCAGGTACTCTCCCTTTGGTATTGCCTGTCTTATCTGTGGTAAGATCATCTCCATCAAGGACCTGGAGGTGGTGGCCAGGCAGCTGGGAATGTACATGGTGACTGTGATTGTTGGCCTCATAATCCACGGAGCAATCTTCCTTCCCAGCATCTACTTTGTTATTGTCCGGAAAAACCCCTTCACCTTCTTCATCGGAATCTTCCAGGCCTGGATCACTGCCCTGGGGACTGCCTCCAGGTTAGCATCAGAATGAATAGTTGTTTGTTGATATTTCTACAGTGGATACAAAGCATAACCTACCTTCATCTGCTTTTTCCCTCCAGTGCTGGTACACTGCCTGTCACCTTCCGTTGTCTGGAGGATAACTTAGGTATCGACAAAAGAGTCACTCGTTTTGTCCTCCCGGTCGGTGCCACCATCAACATGGATGGAACTGCTCTGTATGAGGCGGTTGCAGCCATCTTCATTGCCCAAATGAACGGCATCTACCTTGACCCTGGTCAGATTATCACTGTCAGGTCAGCAGACACTTATGATTTGTTTATCCTTGAGCCTGAAACATCATTGATGTAATTTGCACTGTATAAGTCTGTTTTAAATGTCAGCATCAATGTTGCAAAATGAGGAAATCTTCCATTATATTCATCATATACAATCCCCGAATGGAAATAAATGGACTTAAATGTGCTTTTCATAACCATAACAATAATAACTGTAATTCCCATTCTTTAAAGAGGGTTTAAATGAAGCCCTGAGGATACAGTTTACCGAACACATTTCGCTCTTAATAAATGAGGAAAAACACAGCAGCAGTGTAGGCGCCTTTAACAGTGAACAGAAAAGCCTCTGTGGCTCAAAGCAGCAACTTTAGAGAAGAAAGTTACAGTTTAGAAAATAAACCACGAGAAGGAAGTGACGGCGTGTGCCAGTACCGTGTCTCATGCTACGCAGGAAGACAAACACCAATCTGTAACATTTTTTTCCAAATGCTCTTCTGGTAATAGAGTGAGTTAAGGATGGACGACCTTCAGCTTGGCATTCATATGGCATAATAATCCATGAAACTCTTGAATTAAACGTGCCATCTCTCGCATTTAAAACTCTCATCATGTGTGATGGAGGACCTACTCTGTTGCTCTTCAGCTGCTGCTCTTATATACAAGTATACCATCGAGAATGAATGTCTTCACGTGTAGCTGTGTTCACGTTTGTTGGTTTTTGAGGAGTTGTGGCAGGGTGTGGGGTCGGTTGCGGAGATTGTGGTTAGGTGTGATGGGTTTGGAAAATGTGACTGACTGCTGCTTTGCTGTGATTTCATCCAGTATGACAGCCACCCTGGCCAGTATTGGAGCTGCCAGTATTCCAAGTGCCGGCCTGGTGACTATGCTCTTGATCCTGACCGCTGTAGGCCTGCCAACCCAAGACATCAGTCTGCTGGTGGCTGTTGACTGGCTGCTGTGAGTTTGACAAGACAAAAACATATTTTGTGGTTACATATTGATTCTTCCCTTTGCTTCTACATAAGGTTTTGTTTTTTTCAGGCATCTGGGAATCCCTGCTAGTACTGTATATTCCTTATTTGATAAAGTGTAGAAAAACATATTTTTATACTGCTTTCTCTTATCCTCAGCGATCGATTCAGGACCTCAGTGAACGTGGTGGGTGACTCCTACGGTGCAGGCATCGTGTACCACTTGTCCAAGGCTGAGCTTGACGAGCTGGACGCGCACACGGCCAAATCCGATGACATTGAAATGATGTCGAAGAACCAGTCTTATTACGACGACATGAAGAACCACCACGAAAACAATTCCAACCAGTGCGTCTTAACCTCTACCGCTGTCGCTACCTCTAGTGCCACTGCTAACAATTCTGTCGTAGTAGATGAATGCAAGGTACAATTAATGCTTCCAGACATAGAGATTTGTATTTAACCCTTTCTGTTGTCGCATGCTCACCCTGCATGTTTGTTTGACTCTGTTTTGTTCATTGCATCTCTGCACATAATAATCTTAATGCACCCACTGTTCTTTTAAGACAGAAGTGTAGCACGAGAAAAACAGACGCATGTGGACGTATGTATTTCATTTTTCTTGAATAGCAGCTTTTGTGTTAAATGAACATACAAAAATTGAAAGCGCTCAAGCCAAAAAGTTTTCAACATTACACAAACTTTAAAATGTTTCGAGTTCAGTGCATGGAAATGGAGGATACATCAGCTCCTGCTCTGTACTTAGCCTTATCAGATGGCTGTAACCTGTTGGGGATTGGCTCTAACTCAAAAGGCAGATGCAGATAGTCCCCATCATGACCCTGAGGAATTATTTAGCAGCCCTCCCATCGATCAAAAGTTCACACTGTGATAATTTTAGTTCTCATTTTCCTTTTGTTCAGCTTAATATCTAATGTGGTTCATTCCTCGTTATCTTAAAATAGGGGTATTTTAACTCTTAAACAGGCTTATTTCCAAAGGTTCACCCTTGCTTGTATAAGTGTTACAGCTAATTAGTAGTTAATATATTCCCTATATATACACTTCAACCACACTGTCAGTGAGTCATTCCCAGTTGGGTTTTTTTACATTTTGACACCAGCTATTTCTGTCCATTGTGAGAACTTCGTTGTGAAATAAAAAGCTGTGAAGCAGTTCCTGTAACGTGGAACATAATGCACTTAGAATCCCGTCTTTGAATGTGTTCCAGGCTTTTGGAATTATATATGGGAGTTCAGAGTGCTTGTTCCCTTGTACACACACACACACACACACACACATGGTGGAAAAGGTCCACTGATGAGCCTATTCATTTATTAAAGGATGAAAGGTGTTGCCTAGCAACACTGGCAACCTGTGACACAAGTGATCCGTCCATAGTAATTTATGAAAATACATTTACATATACATGTGACACAATGGCTTGCTATTTCAAGTAACCACCATGACATATATTTCTGTTTTCTGGTCTGTTTTGCATGTAAATTGTACGACTCACATTTCTAACCCTCTTTTCAAAGATGCTTGCAAAATAGCTAAAACCTAACAACGCATTAATCATGTAGTGTTTGTACCTTGTTTTCAAAGTGATCTGTCTATTTTGCATTCGTTCATCGTATTTTTTTCATTGCCTGTTGAGTTTTTGGTCATCATAAATATGTCATCCGTTCCCAGTTCCATAAGAAAGCTCCACTCTTAGGGCTACAATAAGCATGATCATCAGTGGTAGTACAGGATTTCCAGTATTCTTGCATTGTTTTTGTATATTGCAAAATAGCTATGATACCTAAGAGGCAGTGTTTTAATGCCAAAGTACCATAACTACAGCACCCAAAATTACAGAAATGAATGTCCTAAATGGTATTCTGGCTGTACAGTTATACAATATTTACAGTCACGTGTGTTGTCTCAAATGATAACCTCGACATATGACACCTAAAAACTAGGACATAGCAGCACTGATTGGTAAGTTTGCTTTTTTGATGGCATAGCAAGCAATAAGCAATGGTCAACCATGCTTTATGAGCTTCTTAAGCCTGATTGACCAACTAGATTGCTTGGCTGAAACTTAAGTGGAAGCACTGAATCAGTAATGCAGATCCAAAGTTTTATTACAAATGAACTGTGTTTCTCCCTGCTAACTGCCTACAGGTAACCTCAGCCACTAACGGCTCTGCTGCGGAGTGCACGCTTGTTGAGGAGGGACCATGGAAACATGAATAATGGCAGCACAGAGATCCCCTGCTGCTGGGCTCCACAAGCTTTCCTATTTGGTGATAAAAAAAGAGTGAATGAAAACAAAGTCACACGAACAGAACTACTAATTGTTTTTTTATGTAGTTTTCTTTTTTTATTAGTCCCTTTACAAGTTTTTGTAACTGTCTATCTGACTGATTTATAATACTAATTCATTTAATTCACGTGAAATGATAACAGAGGTATACTTTACCTGTTAGAGCACAATTATGACCGTATAGCAGATACTTGCACAACATACTTCAAGGCTTGGGGAGGAAAGGAAGAGAAAAACAAGTTAGATAAGCTACACCTAGCAATATATCCTGGTTCTACATTTATGTGAGACGCTATTAAGATGAGAGAAGAAGTTAGAGCATTAATCATGACAACCAACGTAATGTTTGGACTGAACTTTCTTGAATTTCAGCCCTGTCAGTACCATCACAAATGTGTGCATAAGGCCACTGATTTTCCTTATCAGCTCAGTCTCATCGAAAAACATCACTTTTGATTCTCAAACTGTCAGAGACTTTAAACTGCATCTGACTGCATTTGCCCAATATTTCCCGCTATCCCTGAGGTCCAGCAAACTGATGAAAGGGTAGGAGGCAGGGAGAACAGTTAAGAACAGGATAACCACACTGAGCCTCATAACCTACAAGCACAGTCACAGGAATTATACAGCACAAATCATACCATGGGCGCCCTTTTTTGTATCCCCCTTTTGTTTTCCTTTGTTTTCTGCTGTAAAGGAAAGGGACTTATTTGTCCTCATGTAACATGTTGAATGAGATATAATTCTGGTTTGTGTGCGTGCGTGTGTGTGTGTGTGTGTGTGTGTGTGTGTGTGAGAGAGAGAGAGAGAGAGAGAGAGAGAGAGAGCTAGAGTTAAGAACATGACCAAGTTAAGTATAGGGACCAAACAGGCAGAAAATCAATCAACTTACAGAGGCTTTTGAACTGCCTCCCTGACGTCACTCACAACATTTATGTCCATTAATAACTGGCTGGCAAAGCAGTTGATATTATCACAGTTCCTATTGAGGCCTCAAAGCTAAGAAAATCACTGCCCTAAATATGAAACTT